TTTTGTTATGGATTTATTTGCTCCAACAATCATTAACAAACTTCACAGTGAATATCAATAAATTAGTTTCGTTTTTGCACATCCGATTTTTATGTTGGTCTGTAGGCTTATTTTTTTCGTACCAATACTTATAGCCTTGAGAGGCTATATTAGCGTTACCCTTGCGTGTAGGTGAGCTCTTGGGGCTCTAACCAGGAAGTTGATAGCACTGTCCCTAGCAAGAGCAGTGCTTCGCAGAATCTACCACCGAATTGGAAACGCGACCCATTGAGAAGATCCAGCGACGAGCTTAGTGGTCTGTGTCTGTGGGTTAATTTACTCGCCGAACACGGCGTTGCAAGCGATGGGTTCAGTGAGAACGGTGACTGGTGCTTAAGGTACCTAAAAGAACCGTTTGTATCGGGAGGATCCGTAATTACGTGTTTAGGGCAAGGGGGCTTCGTTAATCACTTAACCCGTCTATTTAATTTAAAGTATAGATAAATATTTGTGAAATAAAAGAAAACCTTTACTGAATATAAGGTTTTAATAAGCTAAAATTAACAGTAAAATTTGCTTTGATTACATTAGATACATTGACAAATAACGAATAAAACAGATTGACAATGACGTCAACTTATGGCTGATAATTTCAACTAAGAAGTTTACATCATTCTCCCGCACTATTTTAAAATATAATCTTTCAAAAATCCTGGCGTTTTATGGACGCGACCAGATCTACGAAGTGTTGGCTCCGGCGGTGGTGATGATGGTAATTCTGTCTCTAGCTCTCTGCTATTATCAAGTACCACAGGTCCCGTTTCATTGGATGAAGGAATCTCCAAGTTTTGGTCTTCTGTTTCCGGAAGTGGTTCTGCGACGTTATGATAATCAATAGTGTGTTCATTATCTATTCGCAGATCTACCCTTTCTGAACCCAATGGTGCTAGATGACGATTCGACACTGTTGTTTCTCGGCCATCTGGAAGCCGAATGTATGAAAAGTCAGGATTGCTGTGTATCAATTCAACCTCTTCTACTAATGGCTGATATTTATTTGTACGATTAAATTTCTTCATCAAGACTTGTCCAGAATTTGTAAGCCACGATGGAACAGAAGTGCCGTTAGTAGATCTTCGAGGGTGTCTAAACATTCTTTCATGTGGAGTGCAATTTATGGTTGTACAAAGTAATGATCGAATTGAATGTAAGGCTTGTGGTAATACTTGTTCCCAATTTTCTACCGAAAGATTCTTCGTCTTCAGGGCCAAAAGAATCGTTCTCCAAAGAGTAGAATTCAATTTTTCTACTTGACCGTTACCTTGAGGGTTATAAGCTGTAGTTCTACTAGTGGCAATACCTCGAACATGTAAAAATTCCTGTACTTCAGCAGAAAGAAATGCTGTTCCGCGATCTGAATGAACGTAAGAAGGCATGCCAAATATCATAAACAAGTTGTTAAGATGTTTAATCACTGTTTTCGAGCTTACATCTGAGCATGGGAATGCAAACGGGAAACGTGAAAATTCGTCAATCACGGTAAGTATGAATTTGTTATTATTATTTGTTGGAACTGGTCCTTTAAAATCTATGCTAAGGCGTTCAAAAGCAGCCGTCGCTTTAACAAGTTTCCTCTGGTCATCAAAGGTATTTCGGAAGAATCTAGGTTTTATTTCAGAGCAGGTTCGACAAGATTTTGTCATTGTTCTGACTTCTTCAATAGAATAGGGAAGGTTTTTAGAGCGAACCCAGTGAAACATTCTTGTTACCCCTGGATGACAAAGAGCCTCATGCAGCGAGAAAAGTTTTGCAGTACGTGTTTCTACAGTGGCACAAACTCGGGATAGTGCATCAGCAGCATAGTTCTCTTTCCCCGGTCTGTATATAATATCGTATTTGAAAGCAGCAAGTTCCAGTCGCCATCTTTGAATCTTTTCATTCTTTATCTTACTTGAATGTTTCATATTAAACATAAAAGAAACCGAGCGTTGGTCAGTTACCAACTTAAAGTGTCTACCAATAAGGAAATGTCTCCATTTCTTCAATGATTCCACAATGGCGTACGCTTCTTTTTCAATGGCGGAATGGTTTTGTTCGCTTGAATTTAACGTTCTTGAGAAAAACGCCACTGGTCTAGAATTTTGCGTAAGTACTGCTGCAATGGAATGATCGGAAGCGTCAGTTTCCACTGTAAAAGGTATATTTTCATCAATTGCATGTATAGAAGACTTTGCGATATCATTTTTCAAGCTTTCGAAACATTTAATTTGCTCGCTTGTGAGTGGAAAAATCGTCGTATTAGCAAGTGAGTGGATCCGTTCAGAAAATTTTGGAATCCACTTGGAATAATGTGCGAACATGCCGAGTGTCCTTCTTAAGGTCGGTAAATCGCTTGGTGGAGGTAAATTAATCAGTGGCTTGAGTCGCTCATTGTCAGGTTTAATTATGTGGTTTTGAATATTATAGCCTAGAATATTAATTGACTTTTGAGAAAATTTGCATTTTTGTATACTCAGTGTTAAACCGTATTTCTTTGCGGCATTCATAAAACTTTCTAAGTTATGATCGTGTTCTTCAAGAGTACGGCCAGAAATAGTTATATCATCAAGATACGCATATGTGTTTTGAAGCTTCTCTTTTCTTATAATCCAATCGATTGTTCGCTGGAAGCTCGAAACACCATTTGTTACTCCAAAAGGAATACGCCTGAACTGGTACAAATTTCCCAGTGCTTCAAAAGCGGTAAATTTCCTTTCTTCGGGTAGTATAGGTACTTGATGGTACGCGTTTTTCAGGTCTATTAGGCTGAAAAATGTATTCTTTGCCACTTTCGAAACTAAGTCCTCAATGTTTGGTAAAGGGTACGCGTCGAGTTCTGTGTAACGATTAATTGTCTGAGAGTAATCAATTACAAGGCGTTTTTTATGAGTTTCGCTTTTTGTTATTAGTACTTGGGCCCTCCACGGTGATTTACTTTCTTCAATCACGCCCTCTGCTATAAGGTTTCTGATTTCTTCTTTAATAAATTCACTATCCTCTTTGTTGTGCCTTCGAGACTTTATAGCAATAGGTTTGCAGTTGGGAGATACATTCGCAAAAAGCGGTACAGCTGGTACTGATGCTTCAGCTACGTTACATACTTGAAGTGGATGTTTTGGCCCACCGAAAGAGAACTCTAGCGATGAATGTTCTTCGAGGACGTCATGGCCGATAATTATATCAGCACAAAGATTTTTCACGATAAGAAGATTCACATTATCATATCTATGATTTCCGATTTTCAGGGTTTGCCAAGTTTGACCTTCTACTTGTGAAGTATAATTAAGAGAGGCCATAGAAATAGTCTGATTGCAGGATTTTCTTTTTAACCCGCATAGTCTTGCAAAGTTGTCATTTATAAAACTGATGGAGCTGCCGGTGTCGAGAAGTGCTTCTGCTCTTATTCCTCGAATATAAGCGGGTACAGTAGCTTTACGTAATGAAGAAGGTGACGCTGCTGTGATACAAGCGGAAAGATCTTCAGTACCTACTACCACAGAATTTGTAGATTTAGAAGAGCTTCTACAAACAGTGGCAAAGTGCCCCTTCTTGTTACAGAGTTGACAAGTCTTTTCAAAGGCAGGGCAGTTCTTACGAGGATGTATTTGACCCCCACAAAAGAAACATTTTTGCCGTCGAGGATTATTAACAGAAGAGCAAGTCTCGTTGTGCAGAGTTTGTGATTTCGAAGAGACTAATGTTGGTTCTTTTGGAGCAACAGCATTTAAAGAGACAGTATTGAAGTTTTGAGAGTTGATCTCTACAGTTTCTAGAGAGAGTGCTTGGTTGTAAGCTTGATCAAGTGTTAGAGTTAAGTTTTCTAAAAGCCTTTGTCTGATTTTATGCGATGATATACCAGATATGAAAGCGTCGCGTACGCTATCGTTTTTGTTTGTTTCTGCATCAACAGCCACAAAATCACAATCTTTGGAAAGTAGTTTCAAAGCTTGTAAATATGTGTCAATACTTTCTTCTGGTCGTTGTTTCCTTGTTGCTAACATATGTCTAGCAAAAATCAGATTTTTTTGTTTTACATACAGTTTTTGCAGTATTGTGATCGCTTCTTCGTAGTTCGTAGCTTCGCTTATATATGTGTAGATATTTGGTGATATATGGTTTACCAAAAATTGAAACTTTATACTGTCCCATTTTTCTGGCGGACGAACCGACTGTGCATCTGTTTGTGGAGCGGTCGGCTTCTGCACGAAAATGAAGTTTTCGAAAGTTTTACGCCAATGTATCCAAGCTCTCGTACTAGAGCTATCTGACGGGTCGATATCGAACCTTTCAGGGCGGAGATATCTATCCATTTTTTAATTTATTTAGCTTATTAAATTGAAATAAGAGAAAACCTTTACTGAATATAAGGTTTTAATAAGCTAAAATTAACAGTAAAATTTGCTTTGATTACATTAGATACATTGACAAATAACGAATAAAACAGATTGACAATGACGTCAACTTATGGCTGATAATTTCAACTAAGAAGTTTACATCAATTTGATATTACTTAAATTACGCAATGATTACATCAAATTACTAAAGCATTTATTTCAGTAAGTATTTAAAGGATAGCTACTTTCTGATAACTACAGGTGAGAATTTTCGTTGTCCTATACTTTGTAGAGCTCAAATGATTGACCCTCCAAAACTTTACTTATATCAGTGTTAATTAAGTACACTCTGATTCTTATTGAATCATATCAACGGCCTCGGATCATGGAACACGTACCTACTTAAATAATTATGTACGCCTTCCATTTATGTGTAGTATATGATTATAATAGTTTTAAAGAAGCATATGTTTTAGATTTAAAACAAACTATTGAAATTAACTCAGCAATTCGTTTAAAATAAATATTTTATTTCCATTTTGTTAATATTTTTTTACTAAAGGTACGATAAAATCGATTCTCTGACTGTTGACATTCGGACCATAGACAAATTTCTAGGCATTTACTGCTCTATTCAATCAATGGCGTCACACCGTCAATGACCCAACCCGCTACTTGGAGACTGTAACATTCAACATTTCCTATTTACAACGTGGTGTTATTGTATTCATTTGAAATATTTATTATCTTCGTAATTAGGTAAGTGTGTAATGAAATGAAATTGATTACAAATAAGGTAAAAACACCATATTAGTGGTTGTTGTCGAGCACAACACAAAATGGACGTCAAAATTATTGTGACGTGATTATGTAAAAAAAAGCAAAAATACTTCAAATATTTCTAGAAAGTTATCGTTTTTTTTAACACTATACCTATCGCTTTAATTTCATTCTCCGTAGCCATTGAATACTTATACTCAAATAGTACCACGGGACTGAAAGGTAACAGGAACTCGGAGACACTTGTCTTGCGGACGACAAACACACCCTGTTGGCTGTTATCGGTCGCTCGGCTACAATACTATCTCAGGAAATAGTTCTTTGTTTTGTGCTCGAAATGTTCTTTAAAAGCAGTTTTCTTTTGATTCGACCCTTTTAAAGGTCAATGCCCTTTGAATGTGTTCCTATTTTGTAGTGTGCTTGGCATTTCATTTGCTATGCGACGTATGAGACCCTGATTATCGCTGAGTCGGAATGCAGTTTGTGTAATGCACTTAAAGCTAATTAGTATGGGTGTCGATCGCTTTTGTTTTTAACTATTAACATTTTTAAATATATTTTTTTCCTCCTAAATAACTGTATTTTTGTTGGGCTTCTAATAACAATTCGTGAATTAGTTGAAGATTTGGAAAAAGTCAGTAATAACATTCAGGTCAAGGACTGCTAGATTTAAAATAAAAAATGGTAAATTATTTAAATCAATTGTTGATTTCAACTTAACAGTTGTAGAATTGACTGTATTCTACCCAAGGAGCTCATTTCAGTTGTCAATTAAAAAGATTTCTTAATGCAATAATGAATTAAAGAGTGACTGGATATTAGAATGCAGCTTAGGAGGATAATGGTATCTTTACAATGATTAAAAATAGTTTTAACTTCTCATAATATTAAACTATGAACCAGTGTATCCCAATACATGGAATAAACAACATTACTCATCTTCATTTTCTCATGATTTATTCTCCTCAATTTTTTTTATATTCAAACCTTTATAGGTAGGCTTAACATATTACCAGGTTACTGTTTAGCTATACATATATTCAGTCTTACTATATTCAATAAAGTAAAAGTAAGACAAATATTTTATTTTACTGTTATCACCAAAACAACAGTAATGCTTGCCTAAGCGAAATTTCTCAATGTGGATCATAAAATAACTAAACGTAGTGAAATCATTAGTTGAATTAAAATGTTCATAATACCATTAATAGTAATCACAATGTATAGATATTTTTACCCATTTTGAAAGATAATATTTGAAACTGCTACATTTTAAATCAGATAATGTTAATGTCTAGGTAGTTGTAGGATGAATGGTGATAACAGGGAGTATGAGCTCCAAGCTGTATCATTGGCATAATCATAAACCATGTGTATATTAATTTTTATTAATACAAAATATGTAGAAGTTGACTTGACATTTAGTTCAACTTTGAATAACAGTATACGACCTTCATATCGCTGGATCTATTAGTTTAATTTTGAATAATCTATTTTATAATTCTTAGTTAATAATGTGTGGGTGTGGGTATTTATTAGAAACATTGCATCACATGCTTAATAGTAATATTTTATTTTAATTCTGTTAAAAAGAAAATTATAAACTAAGCAAGTTTGTCTGTAACATGATTTTGTTTACAATACCATTTCTACAGTGGAATTTATGCTCGCAATCATAAAAAGAGTATGTAGGTATGTAGTAATAATATATGTGTTAGGCTTGCAACTAAGTTCTCGCTGTTTCTCAATAGATGGCTGCAGCAGTAAGTGCTGGTCGATTTTGACAGATCAAATACATTGTGAACCAAGCTTAGACAGATGGTAAATAAAAGAAACATTAAATTTATTGAAAATAATGTTGTTACATATACTTTTGGTTGTGTGAAACTGTCTGATTTTGTAACAAATAAGTATCATATGCGGGAAGTGTTTCTTTTCTTCTTTCATTTGAAAAATACGCTGGATGAAGCTTTTCGAGAACTACAAAAAGTTAATGGCAATGCTGCTTTGATCGAAACTATATGCTGTGATTGGTTCAGTCAGTTCATAGACAGTGGGTTCGATATTGATGACTGTCAGAGTAAAGGAAAGCTAAATTCAATGAAGTCGCTGTCTTCGAATTTACATCTGATTGGATCAGTGGCTAATGCAAAATCCGCTAGCCTCAGCATTAGCAGTTGCTCACAAAGTCATTTACAAGTTATCGCATCTATTGAAAGTATTTCAAAAGCAAGGAGCCTGGATTCCTTATTAGTTAAAGTCAAAATGTTGAGTGTGGTTTTTTCGGCTGTAGATATAGCATTACAAAAAGAAGAGTTGTATTCATAGCATTAGCCTGCACAGTTCGGCTGAATACTCAGACTGTGACGATTGTGCTGTGTATTTGGTGGGACCAGGTCAGCAGTATTTATTATGAGCAGTTGAAACCAAATTGAAACCACCCATGGGCAAAGACACCAAACTCAATTAATGTGATATAGCGCTGCACAAAAAATGGACATAATATGACATGATATAGTGATTGTCCTGTATGACAACATTAGGCCTCACCTTGCCAAATCCATTTAAACTTACTTTGAAACACTCAAATGGGGTGTCCTACCCTGCCACTGTATACCCCAGATATTGCACCATCCGATTTATATTTATAATTTATTAATTTATTATTCTACTAGTACATTAATTTATGCCTATTTTGAAACACCCCCAATTGTTTTGTTCCAGAAACTTTCTATCAGAGTTTGCTATGAACCAAATAGTCCCTATAATAAAAGAAAATTTGGTGTACAAATTGTGAAGAAACAACTAATTGTTTAAAGATGCAGACAATAAAATGTGTTGTTGTGGGTGATGGTGCTGTTGGTAAAACATGTCTTCTGATCAGCTATACAACTAACAAATTTCCATCAGAGTATGTTCCAACTGTATTTGATAACTACGCAGTCACTGTCATGATTGGAGGTGAACCTTACACTCTAGGTCTTTTTGATACTGCAGGTAAAATTTACTATTTACTGGAAATTTGTTTTGGTATGAAAAATTAACATGCATTATAAATTATACATCTTCATTTCAGGTCAGGAAGATTATGACAGGCTAAGACCACTGAGTTATCCTCAAACAGATGTTTTCCTTGTATGCTTCAGTGTTGTGAGCCCTAGTTCATTTGAAAATGTAAAGGAAAAGGTATATTAAAAAGTATTGTAATTTATTATATAATTCATTATATACTATGATATAGACTTAAAACAAAGATAGAGATGTAAAAATTAGTAAATAAGATTTAGCTAGTATGGAAACTAATCTGAGTATTTGATTTTCCAGTGGGTCCCTGAAATAACTCATCATCAACAGAAGACACCGTTTTTGTTGGTTGGGACGCAAATAGACTTGCGCGATGATTCGGCTACAATGGAGAAACTTGCTAAAATAAAACAGAAGCCGGTTTCATTGGAACAGGGAGAGAAATTGGCAAAAGAGCTTAAGGCTGTCAAATATGTAGAATGCTCAGCGCTTACCCAGGTATGAAAATATATCCCAAAAAAATATTATTTTTGATGGTAAAAATATTTTATAATATCTGCTCATGCCTGATGTTTGTTTAAAAGTAATATACCTACAAAGATCCAAAGAAAGTAATTAGAGAAATAGTGGGTGCCTCCACTCTGATGCTGTACTGTTGCACATATAATATGTCTAGACTGCTTAAGTAATTGTAGATTTCTAGGGTTATAAAGAAAATGATTGAAAATGGAGTAATTTACTGTTGTTTATGGTCAAAGATTTTTTTAAATTAAATTTCTGTAATATTATTATTTCACACATGCAGATGAATACATAACAGAATTTGACTTTATGACTTACAGCTTTTAAGTTTTTCTTTTCTACATAAATGAAATATAGTATACACTGTAAACAATAATTTTCTTTGGAAAGTACATCATATTCATCTATGTCCTACCTATTGCTCTGGTGTGGTCTGTTCATGCTTCCAAAGCTTAGCACTACAAGTGGATAGTATATTTAATGATCATTCTATCAATACATACAATTCGTCAGAATTTGTCAATACAAATAAAAAAGTTGGCAATTCTATTGTGTGTATAAAATAAAATAAAATAAATTACAGAAAGGCTTAAAGAACGTGTTCGACGAGGCTATACTTGCTGCACTGGAGCCTCCGGAACCAGCAAAGAAAAAGAAGTGTGTCCTTTTGTAAGAAGTTAAACGACCTCGCCCTACCCGCCGTTCACCTGCATGGGCAACGCTGTAATATTCAACATATTTTTATAATATATCTATAATAATACCAATATTATGCCATAATCATTAAAAAAAGAATATTACAGAGTATTGGAATATTTGCCACCAAGTATGTAAACTGTACAGGTTGTCAGTTTTCCATTCATTATTATTATTATAACAATTAATTAAATACTAAAGACGATTTTTATAGAATTGTCTTTTGTAAAAATTACTTTTATTTATACCAATTATAAAGTCATGTGTACCTATGTTTATGCAATTATTATGAAGACTTCAGTGGATAGTCAAGTGTCGTGTATAAACCTTTTCCTACATTGTACTAGAAAGGCAGACATTATTAACTATGTAACTTATGACATGTTCTGCCTATGTAGACCAATCACTGTAATGAGATATTTGCACAACATTTGCTATGCACAGTGCGAACTATGCATTTTTGTTAGTATTATGCTATTTGAATAATATATGTGTAAATGATTGAAATTGCTATTAATTGAAACGCCTGTCTTGGCTGACAGCCGTCCATATTATGCGTTTAATTTTATAAGTTTGGTATGTTTACATAAACATATTAAAACAAGCTTGTCAGGTGAACTAACCATGTAAACTAGAATTTTATTTTTTTGGTCATTTGGACCATTTCAACTGCAATTATAAAATATATTATAATCATAAATATACAGATACAGAGTACTAGTATTTTATACTGAAATATATATATTCACTTTATACAATATTTTATCTTTTAATTTAACAAAGTCTATATTGTTAGTTTCAGTTCATAATGTGGAGTGCAATTTGTAGTAAACGCCGCAATAAATATATTCATGTTTTTTAATACATTATATTGTGAGAATCTCTCACTATCATGTTACAAGAGATCTCTGAACTGTGGTTTCTTGAATGAGCAATATGAATATACTAATCAATATAAAATACATTTAACCACTTGTCAAATCAAGAGTATTACGTTTGAAGGTGAAATTCTCACAGATAAAATAATAATATTATTAAATATTTGTAAAAGTCCCTGAATGCCAATTCATAGAATTTAAATGTGAGCACACGGACTTATTAATATGAAATTAAATGCACTGTGTAATACTCAATGGAAGACGCTAATATAAAAACCAAATAATAACATTTGGAGGAATCACTCATCCGTACCAGGTGCAAACAACAGTATTTTGACATAAAAGTATTTTGGCGCTAAGATCATTAAAATTTATCATTTCATTAAATAATCAATTCGCATATTCATATGGCACCAAATATCTGATAATTGTAAACATGATTTTCAATATAGTCGTATTTATTTTCCACTCTATTTTCAATTCAGAATTCATTTCTAAAACATTGTCATAAATGTCTACTGAAAATGTATTTACTGAATATTATTGTGTCAGTAACTAGTTATGTATAGGTGTATATTGAGAAGTAAATAAATTTAAGATCAAATTATTCTCCTTATTTTACACCAACTTTACCTTGGACTTAATATTATCAGCATAAAGGAATATTTTGATTGTTTTACTGAATTTCGTTAAGAGCAATATTTAGATACTTAAACTTGTATGTAGTTAATGGAATTACATCTTCTTAAATATGTAAAATGTATCCACCGATTTTTTATCTAAAAGAAAATTAAAAATTCTCTTAATCGAAAATCAATAAAAACAACGCTCTTGATAGCAACAAAATGTAAACTGTAATGATTTTTTTCATGGATGTTTAAGATATATAATTATTTCAAGTGTGGTGATTTATATAAATTTGAAAATATTGCAAATAAGTATAAATCTAGAATTCATGTCCTTAATACTGTATCGACATTATATGAGCTGGTATGTGTTAGATGTGTGTTAACTATTTCAAAAGTCATGAGAAATAGCGCATATGTAATGCTACAATTTGATTCAATTAAAGGATTTTTTTAACGTATTTTGTTTTATTTATATCTCCTTGCACAGAGTGTGAGCCAAATATTTTAAACTACCTCAATTCCGGTGAAATTAAGTTCTTAACTATGACCATATTTTTGCGAATAGCCTTTTGGCTTGGGCCTATATTCTTTCCCAGGTTTCAAATTATATCTGTAGTGCATCTCGTAAATTTGGGTTTAGTAGTTTGGGTAGTAGGTTAGTAGTAAACGTAACAGACGGTCTTCATTTATTCAAGTAAATTCGGTAACTGGTAAAAATATGCTTTTTTATAACGTTGATTTTATCGAAGCATTGACCATGTCCTTATTCTAAATTCTGCTCCGAATTAGGCTGTGTACCTATCGAAACTACATGAAAATCCATTCAGTGGCTCCGGAGATGTGCAAAAACAAATGGGTAGAAAATAAAGTGTTTTAGTTGTGCACCCTTTTTCTATTTTATTATTCTTCAGTAGATAAACACTGGGATCTACTGTTTTAAATTGACTAGCCTCTACCCGCATTGTCCCTTCTTCGATGTATCATTGACAATTAATAAAAATATGTTAATTAGTAAGTACTCCTAAAATAGCAAATATAAATAGTGAAACGAGGCGAAACAAATACAAATGAAATAAAGTCATTGCGTACAAATATCTATGTCATCAGTAACGTAACTAGGCAGACGTTACACAGATGGTTGGCATCACTAATTCCAGTCCTGGATTTACACTAGGGGCAGTCGGGGCAGTGCCCAGGATGGCAAATTTTTTAGAGCGCCAAAATTTAGAAAGTCAAATTTTTTTTAGTCTTATCAAGATTGCTCAATATAATTAATTAATAATTTTCTGTTTCATTGATAATTCAACAAATTCAATTCATCCATTATTTGTGAATTATAATTTTGGCACTTTTGGTAAAAAAATTTAATCAAAATGATTATTCAACTTATTTCCTTGGACATTTAAAATAATAATCAATAAAATAATAAATTAGTTATTGGAACGAAGTTCCTTATCGCGCGTTGTGAAAGGGGGCTAGACGGAAAAAATTCTTACGAAAAGTTGTCACGACACTTTTTAGATCCGTCATTCTGACCAATCAACGTGTAGGCGCTTATCGCGTGACATTGCTCGTATCCGATTAGTCCGCGTAATGAGTACAGTTTCTCGAGATAGCGTTTCAACAATAGTAATTTAGTTCATAGNGTCACGACACTTTTTAGATCCGTCATTCTGACCAATCAACGTGTAGGCGCTTATCGCGTGACATTGCTCGTATCCGATTAGTCCGCGTAATGAGTACAGTTTCTCGAGATAGCGTTTCAACAATAGTAATTTAGTTCATAGTATTGTTTTTTTCTTCTTCATAATGCCGTAATTTATTATTATAACTTAAAAAAAAATTTACAATTCCTTCACTAATTAATCTAAAGGAACTTCGTTCCATCCGGGTGTCCCTTGACACCTCTGAAGTTTTTTTTTTATTTTGAAAAATAAAATCTATAAATTATAAGTATAGGTAAAATTCCATTATTGGGAAAGATTTTTTTCCGGTGCCCAGGAGCGGCATTAAGTCTAAATCCGGCCCTGCTAACTCCTGTAAGATCTACTCAAAACGACAGAGCTACCTCGCGTTCTTTGCGAAATTAAGACTAATTCTTCGCATTCACGTTTTCATGTCTATCTGTGCCTTTTTTTATTGCCCTGTAGGTAGACGATCCACCTGCATACGACTCACCTGATGGTAAGTGGTTACCGACGCCCATGGACTTCATAAATGCCAGCAGCAGAGCCAAGCCGCTCCCTTCCGTTCTTATATCTACTTAACATCGGGTGAATCGTGAGATTTTCTACTCACTGGTGAAAAAAATAAATGAGACTTAAGATAATGAGATGGATGCGCAATTCTCGTATTTTTATGCTCCAGCTTGAAACTGGAGTTCAGCTGGAGTGAAGCGAAAGATGTTCACTTCGACTTCAAAATATATTCTTCCCGTTTAGTGAGCTTACTAGAACATTAGTGCGAAAACGTTTTGAAATTTACTCCCCCTGTTTACAAGGCAGTGCTTGAAAAAACAAATTTCGGCTTTGTATGAGAGTTTCAACCCTATGCAGTGTCCGACGTAATTTTTTTATTTAAGAAAATGAACTGTCTTGCACTTCTCTAAACCATTTCAGTTATTTCATAGGTGATATTAAAAATATACAAGACTAAGTAGGTATATAAAAGAGGTGTACATATGTAAATGCTAAAGCCGTTATTAATGAGCTATATTTTCTAAAGATGTTTCCTACAATATCCATTTCGATAATTTCGTACTCTTTAGTTGCATGTTACCTGACTGTGTTAGCCAAATTGAGCTATTGTTGCCCTACATGAAGGTTTATACTTATCCCATAAAAAAAAATTAAGGTAAAATAAATTTTGAAATATTCTATCTAGTAAGCCCGTCGATTAAGAATGCGTAAGCTACATAAACTAAGGTAAATATTATGATCTCTTTGGTATTTTTTTCAGTTTTAGCTTAGTTTGACTGGGCTCAATCACACATTTTGTCATTTAGGTACAATAACTACTATAATATAACAAAAATATTAGTGGTAGGACCTCTTGTGAGTCCGCATATGTAGATAGCACCCTGCCTTTTTCAGCCGTGAAGCAGTAATTAGTTTCGGTTTGAAGGGTGGAGCAGCCGTTGTAATTATACTAAGATCTTAGAACTCACATCCCAAGGTGGGTGGCGACATTTACGTTATAGATATTTATGGGCTCCGGTAACCACTTACACCAGTTACACCAGGTGGGCTGTGAGCTCGTCCACCCATCTAGAAATAAACAAAAAACTGATATTTTACCGCCTCGTTGGATAAGTACTTTGACTACAACCCTACGAGGGTTAGCCTTTATGAAAAATGCTTGACTATCGAGGCTTGGGTAAGTTTGTCTTGTATATTTTTCCGGCAGCTATTATAACATAGGAGTAGAATAAAACATTTAACGGTTTTTTGTACAATGTATTTGTTATAATTTTGGGGAGACCAAAACAAAACGCCAGTACCTACGATTTACGTTAATTTTAGAAATTGTAAAATGGTTTTTAAAATTAATTCTTTTTGGTCATTTGGCCAGTACGTAAATAACCTGTATGATTTAAGTATTGCTTGATGGTTTTTTGTTCAAATGATTGGTATTATTTTGACAACTTTGACGCAATGATTTTTTAGTGATTTTATTAGTGTACCACCATTTTTATATTTAATAATTAAAAGTTTTGTTTATTCAAACATTAGCACCTCGCCGTTGAGTTGTGTGATTGTGTGCTATGTAAATTTCAAGTTATAATGGGCGACTGCTTAAAGTTAGTGAAAGGTTTGTGAGAGAAGTTTAAATATTCTCAAATAAAATGCAGGCTATCTAGAAACATTCGTATCGTTGTCAAAATATCGTTTCCATTACTGTCCTGCATTTTAAAGGAGTAACGCCTCAATAAATAAAATGTTCAATGTGGCAAAATGGCGGCTTTTAATAATAATACATATCTCGCATTACTCATTTAGTTTAATTAGTGATGCAGTTCCAAATAACAGCAAATTTATTTATAAGACTCTGTTTCTAATGACTCGAAGGGCATCTAAATAGCTATATGGTCTCTATAAGGAGTTTTAGTCTAGCCAGTGGAACAATCTTCATGAATTTTCGCGTCATAAAATCAAGTCTTTAACGAGACGATAACTTATTTTAAATTTATCACGTAACTAATTTATTGTTGCGTTCATTCTAATTAATTCATATACTCCGAGCTCCAGTTCAAATTTTAAAATTGAACCTTCCTTAAAACGTACTAAATGAACGAAATAGCGTTTATATTTACCGGTTTATATTAAAATTTATCGCCGTAGATAACCGATAATTTCATGACGCTACTAATGTTAATCGTTTACCAAAATTCATATTGTTATAGCTTTAAAATAGTTACTCCAACTTGAGGCACTCGTTTGAAGTCAGATTTCTAATAAATGTACGACTATTTATAGGTGCGGAAATCATTTTTTCCCTGTGATCGTAATTCTTGTTTCATATTTTCCTCAGTTTGTATGAAAAATATGTTATAATATAAAAATTAAATTGCATTTGCAGATAAGCGACACAGAAGTTCTAGTAGTCTTGCTGGAGCTTTAGATTGTACTCGTTCAGAAAAGAAGTTGGACATAAGAGGTGCCTTTTTAATAATAATGCTTCCACAGCCCTTTCCATAATTATTTTTTTAACAACAGTATCTATGGCTAGCTGAAGAAGCCGAGATTCGAAAATTAGATATAATATTTATTTGGAACTTAATTTAAGTATATATAGCATACCGATTTCTTTAATTTAGAAATAATAAATTTACTGATATTACCATTACAGCTTCGATACCGGAAGTAGATGATCAATTTGCGTTGGCGGAAGCACGTTGTGATGATTTGCAGGACAAAATCGATTTAGTAAGAGTGTTAAGGAAGAAAAAGAAATTAAAAAAAAGAAGGTTAATTGGTTTTGTGATATTGAATTTTTATTTCAAGTGACGGTATACCCACATAGACACAGCCCACTGAGTTTCTCCCTGGATCTTCTCAGTGGGTCGCGATTCCGATCCGGTGGTTGATTTTGCGAAGCACGGCTCTTGCTAAGCAAATTCTCTCAGGCTATGCCGGTGAGTTCACCTACCCGTCTGGGCGTAGCTGGAATAGCCTGTAAGGTTACCAGCAGATAGGTACGGAAAAACATGATTGTGAAATGAATTTCCAAATGCTATTATCTTTGTCTATTACCGAGGTGTGGCAGATGGATCGTATAGCTAGCTGTCTGCTCTCGGTAGTATAATAAAATAATTTTTGAGATGAATTTTATTTCCGTTCTAGTATGACCAAGGTTGGCGAACCGCAACTAGCTCTAGATAACATACCAGTTATCACAGTAAGAACACAGCCGAAAAAAAGTGAGTTTTCTTTCAATTTTCTTCTTGTAGGATAAATTTACTGTGTGTTTTATTATTTAGGTTTTTAGACAAGTAATTTAAGAACAGCAAGCTTTCTATTGTGACACGAGACAATGAACGCCAAATCTACTTTTTAGTATCGGGCATATCACTCATGACTAGTTATCATCATCATCATCACTAACTTGTCACTGTCACTAACTCATTACTAACACTCATTTCTACCCAGAACTCTTCTACTCTCTCTGACGCTCGGAACTGAACTTCCTATTACAATATTTCTTAAATCTCACGATATAACCCGGCAATGCCTGATAGTTTATCTGCCTATCGGGGAAATCTCATCATTATGTATTATTTAATAATAGTTAGATGACGTTTAATAGTTAGATATCATAATAGGATATAATAACGAGGAGCCCAAATTCTTCCGTATAAAAATTTTGCCTTGCTAACAGTTTTGCTGATTACAGAAGTGTCCCAGCATGCGGCACGTCTGCGTAAAATAGAGATGCCACATAATCCGACAAGAGGATATGTTGATCCTGCTTCCGTTGAACAGCATATGATGCTTGGAGAGATGCGCGGTACTAAGAACTATAAGCCACCGGAAGCACAACGTTTGAAGGTAGCACAATGTAGATATAATATGTCACGTATGATTTGATTATGATGTAATTTTATAGTTGACATTAATTTAAATTTTTCGAAGTTTAAAAAAATTAAAAAAGTTGGATGATATAATTAAAAACACTTTTACCGTTTAACTCGTATTTTTGTTGTCATTAAATTGTTTTCGTCTTATCGTTTCCAATGCTTTACAGTTTTCTTTGGTCACGGATACGTGGACGTTTGAATATTATTAATATTGTTGGACGATGTGGAGTATTATTCTTAACGTTTTAATCTGTGTTGGACACGTTGTTCTCGAGACAATTAGACTTAGTTGATTGTTCTGTTTTAGGAGAAACCAGGCTCGGCGGGCTACAATAATTATGGCAAAAATCAACCTAGAAAAAATTATCCAGACGGGGACAGTTAGTAGTACAAAGTGCTTTTTTTACTTTTGTAGTGTGAATAATGTGTTGAGTGTTGAGCCTGTAATATGGTAATTAAATGCAAAAAGTCAAATCGCGCGTGTGATACCACTTCGCTTTAGATGTATTGCTCAGATAGTAATAACAATAATAACAATTGGGCACAATTCACATAGTCATGTGGCCTCAAACTAGGATTCCCTGTAGGCACTATAAATAGAAACCAGAAACAGATATACATACTTGTGTACGTTTAAATATATACGAACTGTTGGGACTTCCTTTTCCTTATTCCTTCCTCAATCCCCTATCCACGCCATCTGTTGACACTACAAGAAAAACTACGCGAATATGAAAATGGCGCGAAGTGTGTAAAAAAAACTAAACATGGTGCCGGTGCAAAAACAATAAAATTGTGATTTGTTGATCAATCAGCACATATAACTCTCGCCAGTGAGAAAATAGAATAGTGCATCAACGAGCTACAGAGTGAGTCCTAAAGCTTATCCTTTTCCCAGTCCCAAACATATCTAAATTCAAAACACGTACAATGATATTAAACACTCGGACAAAGAGTAAACAAAATTGTTCATCATATGAATATTTGCCCGATGCGGTAATAAATAGAGTGAAACAGAGACTGTTTAAGGCAATCATAAACATGACAATTTATATAATTATTTTTTACAGTGGGAGCACACTAGTAAGTATGGCAACACCATTGTAGTTACACAAAAGAAATCTAGTCGTACGTGTGCACGTATTGTACATAAAGAGAAATAAAAATCCTTCGCTCTAAGTCAAGTTTTTATTGAAACTAGCACAAATGTAAGAAATTAGTTGAATCTTCTCAATTCGACAGGTATGTATGGAGCTGGTACGCAGTTCAGTAGCGAGGGTCCCATGGAGGTGGCTTGTGGTGATGACGATACTGTACCTCGTTACTCTGACGTCGACCTCTTTGATCAGCGGCCACAACATTAGTATGCATTTCAACTAATAAACGTCCCTTTTTTAACTACACCAGTGTGCTTAGTGCGAGTTTTTTAACTTATCGAACGCGTAGCTCAGTATGGAGTTGGAACAGCGCCCCTAGCGGAATAGTACTTAGAAACACAAGCACTAACGTGGACGAAACAAAACTGGTCGAAAAACTTAAAATTTAACAACTTTTATATAACATATATTTAAATATATCCCTTAAATTATGTGAAAGCGTTTCTCGTATGAAAATAATATTATAAAAGATAATATCCATTCGAATCTAACTACATATTCCGAATTCTCTTTTTGTAGGAGTAGGTACAACAGAAATTAGTTTGTTGTAGTTTGATGAATGCACTCTGCTTTGATCGTAGCTCGATAGATGGCAGTGTAATAATAATATTCTTGATAGCGCCTCCTCTGGAACGTACACGATGGCGCTGCCAGTTTCAAATCCGAACCCTATCTCCCACAGACACAGTCCACTGAGTTTTTCGCCGGATCTTCTCAGTGGGTCGCGTTTCCGATCCGGTTGTAGATTCTGCCGAGCACTGCTCTTGCTAGGGCCAGCTAGGACCACTCCGGTTTGAGCCCCGTGAGCTCACCTACACATTAGGGTGAAGCTGATATAGCCTCTCAAGGCTATCAGCATAGGTAGGCTTAAAAAAACCCTATCAATGACTATCATTGTCATTTTTAACGATAGAAATTATTTCACAAGCGGAAATATTTCATGCTCATCATTGTTGCGTACCTCGGTGTACCGAAGACATGCAAAAAATAAACATAAATCAGCTCTCGTAAAATTTTATTATTTTCCAATGAAGTTAAGTTTGAGTGAGATGATTAGTAACATGCAGCATAAAGCACCTCTAGTATTAATTTGTAGATTTGAATTTAATTTTTTTCTCTCGAAAGTTCTGAAACCACCATTTCGTGTTTTTTCAAGCAATGCTTAAAACTAGATACCTACATTTGCAATTTAGAAGAATCCCGCATGGGAAAAAGATATCCCGAATTTCATTGATTCATTCTTTCGGCGTATTCAATTGAGCGCGTTGTCTTTTTTCTATTATCCACAAAACATATAACCACAACGAAGACCCCGATAAAACATGTTATAGTTTTTCAGTTAAATGTCAAAAATATATATAAATGTTTCTACGTGCTTTCTATAGTTCTTTGAAAGTCAAGAACCCCAAAGAAGTCCGTCAAGTTCCAGTGCTCAATCGGCGAAGACACGTACCTAAAGAGAATAATACTATTAAAGATGGTAAGCACAGAAACAACAACTGACAAATACCTAACAATTAAATTTTTTCAACCTATATTGGCGTCAGATGCTTGATAATTTACCTTTTTTTTATTGCTTAGATGAATGGACGAGCTCATAGCCCACCTGGTGTTAAGTGGTTACTAGAACCCATAGACATCTACAACGTAAATGCGCCACCCACCTTGAGATATAAGTTCTAAGATCTCAGTATAGTTACAAGGTTGCCCCACCCTTCAAACCGAAACGCATTACTGCTTTACGGCAGAAATAGGCAGGGTGGTGGTACCTACCCGCGCGGACTCACAAGAGATCCTACCACCAGTACACCTACAGCAATTATCATGGTTTCAATGAATCAACAGCAAACGAACAGTAGCAAAAGAATACGTTCTTCTGCGTTCATCCACAATGAGTTGCCGGAAATACTTTTTTCTTACGTACCATTCGGATCCCGATCACGCTACGATGTCTCCCAAACGCTTCGATATTTCGTCGATCTACTTCTATTGAGGCTTGAGTAGAATCCTCAGTTGTAGGCAGCGGCTTAGCCGAGATCCTAAGATCACTGATGTTCATGGGCGTCAGTGATTGATTAGTCATCGTGAAGTACACCATTTGCTAGTCTGCTTAAAGCGGCGATAATAAATAGATATACGCCGCATATAGTGTAGGGTAAACTGCCGATCATATATTTTGACAGTGCTTACGGTACAAATTACCGGGAAAGTTAAGTCTCTAAAATTAAGGTGTGTACACTACAAATCATTTAGTTGCGAAGTGGCATTGATATTCTATTTCACGATGAAAGTTAGATCTTCGTCACTATCACAACGCTGTCCGTGTCAATAACTGGTTTATGCCTAAATTAAATACCATTAAAAATTATTTCATCGGTTTTAAAAAATTGTTTTAAATTTCTTTGCTAACGCTCTTTCAGTTTACACAGACAAACGCGCCTGTCACATCATGTACACATCACTACTACAACCAAGGCTAAACCTTCATCGTGAATTAGAAAATTTGTATCATTTATTGCTTTAAACGGGCTGTCTGACATCCGTCTGTTGGCTGTCCGAATACCGCCATCGACCCTGAGACATGAGATCAAATTGTCAATTGTTTTCAGAAATAAATATTGCGATATTAAATCGTGCTAACTTACAGTTCGCCTTACGACCAGTAGGCAACGATGTTGTTCCTCTACAATAGAGGAAGTTATTCATGAGCACATCTTAAGTAGGTGCGTATTAACTCGTGAGTGCCTACTTGCGGAATTCAAGCTCTTACCTAGACAGCTTGACACTGATTCTTAACCATAAGGCCACAGGGCCTAAAGCTTGCTCTTCATTTCACTGCTGATTGAAATCGTGACAGCTTTTGAACTGATAACATAATTATTACAGAAACAAAACGTCACGAGAGTGGTGGCGACACACTAAAACAATACCGCGGTGCGCCTTCAGCCAACCAACGCCACATCAACACAGGTAACCGCGCGCTGGCTGCTAATAAGTAGGCAATGACATGTATACAAAATTGAGACTTATGCCCCGGGAATAAAGGTGGGTGGCAAGATTAATGTGTAATATATACGGGCTTGCTTAAGCACTCTCAGACTGAGCCCCGTGAGCTGTCTTACACATTTAGTGAAGCTAGTGTAACCGATCGAGGTTACCTGCAGAAGATTGCCAAAAAAAATCGTTAATCAATTAATAAGAGGCTGTCTGCGAGCTGGTAACCCATCGAGTGAAAAATAAGTGTAATGTCACATCACGTAACTATATCGGAATATTTCCCGCAAGTACTTATAAAATGGATATGAGCTACTATAGTAATACGAGTAAATACAATAATTAAGGTTAAGGTTTGCAAGGGTAAATGGATGTTGGGTAATGGAAGACATTGTGGCTGAAAAATCTGCAGGTCATTTTACAAAAATACCTCCTCCTCGAGGTATCTTAGCATTCATTTTTACGAAAATCAATCGATGAGTCGGTAAAAAGGACAAAGTAAATGCCGTTACTGAACTAGAAACATGAAGTCGAAGTCTCAATTATATTGTATAACTGCTGTGCCCACTCTTCAAACTAGAACCCTTGAAAACTTCCTTACAGGCATAGGAAGTGCAGCCTATACATGCGATATAAAAAAACGCCATAACAGTCATAAGATTTATATATCCGAACCTCGTTAGAAGATTGAACTTGAAGGGTGATTTAGACGGCCGTCTGGTGTAGTGGTAAGTGACATGGTCACTACACCAGGGGGTCGCGCGTTCGAATCCCGCCAAGGGAAGATATTTGTATGATAAATATAAATGTCTTTTCCAGGGTTATGGATGTATATTAAATATATCATCATCATCATCATCATCATCATCAGCCTTTATCTGCCCACTGCTGGACATAGGCCTTCCCCAATGCCTTCCACATAATGCGGTCCTCCGCCTTCCGCATCCAACGACTTCCCGCCGTGCGCACTAAGTCGTCAGTCCACCTGGTTGGAGGACGCCCCACGCTCCTTATACCCATCCGTGGCTTCCATTCGAGGACTTTCCTCCCCCACCTGGCGTCGCTGGCTCGACAGATGTGACCGGCCCATTGCCACTTCAGCCTGCTAACTTTGAGAGCTATGTCGTCGACTTTGGTTCTCCGTCGAATTTCTTCGTTCCGGATTTTGTCCCTTAGAGAAATACCTAGCATAGCTCTCTCCATCGCCCGCTGTGCGACTCTTAACTTATGGGCCAGCCCTGCCGTCAGTGTCCAGGTTTCCGCGCCGTAGGTCATAGCGGGGAGAATGCACTGGTTAAAGACTTTTGTCTTCAGGCATTGAGGAATTTGCGAGGTGAGGATTGCACGGAATTTCCCAAATGCCGACCAACCCAGTCGTATGCGTCTCTCAATCTCTGTATTGAAGTTACCCCGGCCAAGCTGGATAGCCTGACCGAGGTAGACAAAGTCTTTTACCTCTTCAATGACTGCATTCGAGATGGTAACTTGGCCCGGGACGATTTTATCATTGAACATGACTTTCGTCTTGTCAAGGTTCATCCGCAGTCCCACGCATCGGGAAGCAGCATTGAGATCGTTGAGCATACGACTGAGGTCCTCCAGCGATTCCGACATTAAGACTATGTCATCGGCAAATCGAAGGTGTGACATGTACTCTCCGTTGACGTTGATTCCACATGTTTTCCAGTCCAGCGTCTTGAAGACATCTTCAAGTGCAGCGGTGAACAGTTTCGGAGATATAACATCTCCCTGTCGGACACCCCGCTGCAGCTTGATAGGTCTAGACTGGCAATCCTGGATTTGTACGGTCATCGTCGCGGCTTCGTATAGACTTTTCAACACCTCGATATAGCGATAGTCTATCTGGCATCGCTGTAAGGATTCCAGAACTGACCAGGTCTCGATAGAGTCAAAGGCTTTCTCGTAGTCCACGAAAGCCACGCAAAGTGGCAGATTATATTCTGTAGACTTTTCTATAATCTGTCTGAGGGTGTGAATATGGTCTACGGTATTGTAACCCTTTCGAAACCCAGCCTGCTCCGGTGGCTGGCATTCATCAAGCCTTCGGGCGAGACGATTAGTAATGACCCTAGAAAAGACCTTGTAGACGTGGCTCAAAAGAGATATCGGTCTATAGTTCTTCAACAAAGTTTTATCACCTTTCTTGAAGAACAACATGACCCGACTCCTTGTCCACGCCAATGGTGTAGTCCCATTGTGTATGACGGAATTGTACAGGCTCCGTAATTCCTTCAGGATAGGAACCCCTCCGGATTTCAGCAGCTCCGTAGTAATTCCATCTTCACCAGGCGCTCTACCATTTTTGAGCTGTTCCAGGGCCATCCGAATCTCCCCGATGCTGATGTCCGGGACATCATCCGAGTAATGCCGAGTAAGTGGTGCTCGGCTGTCACTAGCTCGGTTGGCGGGTGTAGGTAGAGAAGTGTGCATTGCGTAGAGTTTGCCATAATATTTTTCGACCTCGCCTAAGATTTCTGGCTTGGAAGTAACTATAGAACCATCTTCTCGCTTAAGCTTAAGCAGAGGAGCACTTTTAGACGTCCGTACAAGGGCTTTAAGGCCTTTATTGCGCTCTATCGCAGCTTCAATGCGTCTAGCATTAAAGCTACGGTAGTCACGCCTCACCATCCTCCGGACGTCCTTATTTAAGGTTGCGTACTCTGCTGTAGCTCTTGCGGATGGAGTGGCTTCTCGTCGTTTCCTCATTAATGCCAGAGTCTCAGGGGTTAGCTTGGCTTCACGAACTCTCCGCTGTGATCCAAAGTATCTTCCACCAACTTCACGTAGTGTCGCCGCCATGTTCTCCACCACGTCGTTCACGTCCTCAGTGGGATCCAGCAGACTGAATCGATTTTGAAGTTCCAATTGGAACTTCTCGGAAACTTGGATGATTTGGGGAAGAGACGGGCGCAGAGTCGATCTCATCAACCGGGTTCTTTCAAGCCTTATGTCGATATTTAGGGTTCCTCGAATAAGTCGGTGGTCACTGCCGGCACTAAACCTGTTGACCACTGAGACATCCGTAAATATTCGCTTCTTATCCGCCATGATGAAATCGATCTCGTTCCGTGTCACTTTGTCGGCACTTTGCCAAGTCCATCTCCTTTGGGGCTTCTTTTTGAAAAACGAGTTCATCAAATAGAGTCCCTCCATCTGCAGAAAATTGACAAGCATTTGTCCTCTGTGGTTTCTCGTCCCCAAACCATACCGTCCAATTATGGATTCGCCTTCCCCTTGTATTCCCACTTTGGCGTTGAAGTCGCCAACTACAACGGTGAAGTGGGTCTTGGTGGTGTTATGAATGGCCTTAGAGATGTCTTCATATAAGGCCTCAACCTCACAATCAGGGTGTGTCGCCGTTGGTGCATACACTTGCACGACCTTGAGTAAATATCTCTCTGAGATTTTAACTATAATGTACACCACCCGCGACGACACACTCGATAGCTCCAAGACGTTGTTAGCGATGGCTTTGTGAACGATGAACCCAACACCGCCTTGAGAGAGCTGGTCTCCTTCACGGTAGTAGAAGAGGTTTCCAGACTCGAGGATGACGGTGTCCTCACCCTCTCTACGGACCTCCGAAAGCCCAAGGATATGCCATTTAATGGACCTCAATTCTACTTCCAGCTCTTCCACATCCTCATCTCGCCTCAAAGTCCGGGTGTTAAACGTGCCAATGGTCAGTTGTTTATGGTGGCCTGCCGACCGGGGATTCTTCGCACCCCCTGCCCTACCGTTACCGTGACCGCCACCGTGGCCAGGAATAGTAGAGCTGCCGGGTACTGGGGGCCGTTGCATTTTGTGTCCTATCATTGGGGAGTTTGTGCCCTTAAGTCACCACGCTGGGCATGCGGGTTGGCAACTAGGAAGTTTAACGTCGTACCTAGGACGTTAAACTTTATTAAATTATAAAGATTAAATATATGTATGAGTATAATAAAAATCTTACACTTATTTCCGTTATCTGGTATCTGTAACACAAGTTCTTTACGAACTTATCACGGAATCAGTTAACGTGGCGTGATTATTAAAAAAAAAGTGTTTTTTTTTAAATGAATGCAGGTCAAAGCTATCACGAGGAAAGGCCGGTGTTGGAACTATTTAACAAAGAACGGTCGAGTCCCCCGCTCGACGCCCAGCGACAAGCGCAGACGTCATCATATTATAATCAAGACAGATGGAACAAGAAGAAAACGATCGGTACCAGACACCTCTATCATGTGCTATCAGAATAAATAGTATCGACAAAGCACGTTTCCGTTTTAACGTTCATTTTTGTTCGAACTTAATTCAAACGTTTACCTACAAAATAAATTTAAAAATACCGTATATTAGCGCATAACATCTTGGGAATTACGTGGGACGAGACTGCCCAAGACCGATGCAAATGCAAGAATTTGATTAGAGCGCTACACCCTAGCAGAGGGTAATAAGAAAGTTAGAAGAAGACATATTAACGCAAAGTTTCTAGACTAAGCAAAGAAAAAGGATAATGTCGGAATAATTTATAATAGGTAAGTTTATTGTTGTAGGTTGTGACAAGAAAAGGGTTGATGCTCCCGTGCGGCGTCCACTTAACGAAACCGGTCCCGTTGAATCTAAAAAGTCCCACGTCGAATCTAAGAAGGTTGGCAGTTTTCGTTTAATCTTATTTTTAAAGAATATTATTTTCACCATAAAGTTTAGAATACGTTTTTGGAACGAAGTTCTTTATGGGACGATGCGGAGGGGTACCCTAACCGGGAAAAAACGTCCGTAACGTAAGATTTTTATTAGTAATGCACACAGTGTACGACTTAATTTTGTTATAACGTATAAAAATAAACATATTTTTTATCATTCATTGACCACGATCTCCCAATACACTAAATCTTATGCAAACAAACGTGAATGAAGTGTACCACAATAAGTTCGCACGTTATCGAATGACCGTGAGCTATTGCGAAACCTCCAGTTTTATTTTCTTTATACCTCGAATAGAACTTAAAATTAATATTTCTATAATAAGGAACTTCGTTCCTATCCGGTGTCCCACGACACCACACATCTTTTTTTTGGGCCGAGGTCGAATCTCTGCACTAGATCTGCGCGCCGGGCACCCGTGTTATTTTAGGATTATCGAAGCATCCAACCAACTGGTCTCCTACACTCTCGCCTGAATGTGAGGTCCTCGGGAGGTGTAGAAAGAATTTCACCGGTCAACATTAAGAACGCCAGGCCGATGGCGTTCTTAACCTACAACAGCCATCTCGGTTGCGGCCCGTAAGCCCGACTCAGATCAGAGCCAGGCGAGTCGGAAAGCGATATGCCGCCAACCAAACCGCTGTTCATAGATGTCAACTCTTTGTCCTCACAATCAGTTGTATTCAACCAAAACTTGTGTTATAGCTAAAGGCTTATGAAAGCCGAAATTACAGATGAGTGGTCTTACTGGTGGTAGGACCTCTTGTGAGTCCGCGCGGGTAGGTACCACCACCCTGCCTGTTTCTGCCGTGAAGCAGTAATGCGTTTCGGTTTGAAGGGTGGGGCAGCCGTTGTAACTATACTGAGACCTTAGAACTCATATCTCAAGGTGGGTGGCGCGTTTACGTTGTAGACGTGGTATTAATACCAGGTGGGCTGTGAGCTCGTCCACCCATCTAAGCTATAAAAAAAAAAAACTCGCGGCTCAATTCTCATTCTTCTCCTCAATCTCTTCCCACATGAAAGGGGAACGTCGCTTCGACTTGCTATGATCTCTCACTGACACTTTTCTCCAGCCACTAGTAATTTTTTACCATCGTTACTAGGAGGATAACCGTTACCCGCGCCGCGAGAAGTACCGAAGCCATCGCTACGAGTTGCCCACGGTCGCGTCACAGATGAAGCAAGCCGGCGTGCGGTATTACTGTGAAAACACGAAACGCCCTAATATACCGTTCATTGTGAGCAAGAGCACCGCGCCTTCGCATAACATCGGCGTAAACATACAGCAGGTATAGACTGATTTCGTTAAAAAAATATTATAACTACACTAGCTGTACCCGTCCGCTTCGCTGGGCATTTAAAATTAACATTATTATTTCTTACACCCACAAAGATTCTCATCATTAACGCCCCCGCAACTGGTGTAGGGAGTCCAACACTCATATAAATATTAGCTTATCCATTGAGTACATGTATTTTCTACATGGATACCAAGTTTCAAGTCAATCGGATGTGTGATTCAGTAGTTATAAGGAACATCCGTAAAAACCACTGTAGATTTATATATTAGTATAAATTGAAAATAAGTATATAGTATGAGGCACATTTTTTGTTCATTTGTTTATTAAAAAGGCTTAAATTGCTTTGGCGACCGGTAAAAAGCTCTTTCCAATACCCAAGTAATAATACATTCAGAAAGTTGGGGAATTTCATCTCAGTTTTTTGATTTCGTATGTAACAAAAATAACAGTCAGAGTAACAGATTAATAGCTGTATAATTGTTATACAGCTATTAATGAAGCTTAATTTCTACGTATTTTTAACTTATGGCTTATATGTGTCTAAAATGTTGATCATGTTGATATTAATCATTATAGGGAATACATACCTAGAGCAAGATTGCAACAAGTAATCTAAATTTACTAAAAATGCGTGACGTCACCTATACACATAGACTAGCCACATGTGACATCGTTTGCTATGATTGGTGTTTAGCTTAATGTGAACAAATATTGGAGTTATTCGAGTTTGTTTAGAGATTTAAAATGTGAATTAAAATTATGATAGACCGTTTTTATTAAATTAAAGTCTTTTACAACAATTTTTTTTTTGTTTTGATTAGATTATATTGGTGTCCTATTGCTTATGATTTGCCTATTTTTTGCATGCAATAGGCTGACTATGATCTACAATATTCTACGCGTGATTTAGGAATACTCATTTAAGTTACAAGTTTTGTGATGTCGTGACTCAGGTTTTGAATGGTCTGAAAGTGCAGCAGCCCCTTTCCGGCATACCATCGACAATCGCTCATCACATGGGTAAGTTTCAATAGCCAGTCTTGGATTTTGTCTGACACAAAACTGTTTTTTTTAAATCTCCTATATTCCACTATTATTTTTACTAGTCTAACATAATAGCGTAAAAGTAGCACAGAGAAAATCAAAACAAACAAAAAAGAATGAAGATGAAGATTGATTTGAGAACCTAAAACTGAGACCTTAGAACACGTCTCAAGGTAGGTTTATTTTGTAGATGTCTTTACATTGTACATGTCTATAGGCTCCGGTAACTACCTAACATCAGGTGGGCCATGAGCTCGTCCATCAACATAAGCAATAAAAAAAATTAAAAAATATAGTAAAGAAAGTAATTATTGTAATTGAATTTTTACTGATATTAAATTGATTTAACTGAAGATCTAAAACGATTTTCTCTGTTCCAGGGTTGGGTCACGTTTCCACTTACGGTACAAGAAGTGCAACTGCGGTACGTTATGTACTTTATTGCTCAGTTTTAATTTTAACATATTTGTGGTTCACTAGTGATACCCGATTACGATTCGCTGTGAGTATCGATAGTATTAAGAAATAAAATCGATTTATTGAAGCTACTTGTCCTATAATAACATCACTCTTGGAGTAGCAATAACGGCTATAATTATTACATAGTTCACTTTAAAATTACACAAAGTTACACATCTTTAGCTAGTTTCTACACAATCGGTTGAATGGTATACTCGTAGAGGACAAACATTTAAAGATTAATTTACCAAAACTAGGGGACTTTTAATGAATAAGAAACGCATTTATTTTTTTAATTGGAATATCACACTCATTGCCTATGTTTAAATTGTTTGGTTTGTTTCTTCATCAAGGATTTTTTTTCCTGCCTTTGCCGATAGCCTTAAGAGGCTATTTCAGCTTCTCCTTGACGTGTAGGTGAGCTCACGGGGCCCAAACCGGACTGTTGCTAACACTGGCCCTAGCAAGAGCAGTGCTTCGCAAAATCTACCACCGGATCGGAAACGCGACCCACTGAAAATATCCGGGTGAGAAACTCAGTGGGCTGTGTCTATGGGTTAATTTACTCATCGAGCCCTTCGTGGCAAGCGACGGGTTCGGCGAGGACTGTGGCCGGTGCTTATGTTACCTAAAAGCACCGTTAATGGATCGGGAGGATCCGTAATGAGGTGTTTAGGGCTCACCAAGGATCCTTTAGTCCTTTGACATTAGATACGACTATATATAAGCTTATTATAGCGTGCTATAACATTACAACGGTAGGAACGGATAATTGAAATTCGAATTTTCATTTTTTTGATTCAGCATCCGTCTCTGGACAATCGTGAAATAAACGTGATCAAACTGGGACATCGTATGTTGCGTCTACCCTCGTACAAATACATGTCATACAATAGACTCTTGAATTTATATCGCGAGGGAGACGGTATCGTTCCGAGGTTCTTGAAAGCGATCAACCGACCGCATTACTTCTACACTTCGATGTACAAGTGAGTTTAAATTTTATTACCATTTTTCATTGTAGATTCTGAATGGCATCGCGATCTCATTCGGTATCGGTTGCGATGAGAATGTCTTAGCACGAAACCTAACCAGTAACGGTAAAATTAACCCATTTTAACGCTATAATACCGTTTAAGAATTATTAAGGCCTCTATACACCAAGCCCACCAGCCCGCTGACCTTACTAGGGTTGCTGCCTACGAGTTAGGCCGGCGACATTAAAACATTGTTAGCCGGTGGCACGAGGTCGCGGCTTCTGCGGCCTATACCGTTCAACAGTTGGCGATTGCCGAGTAGCTGTGTAATTTTTATTAAACCAGCGTAAATATAAATTAAATTTCGCTATTGACTGCATTATTATTGTATTTATTTAATTGGTATTTGTATGTATAAAACGCCAGAAATATGATCGAGGGCGATAATAGTGATTTAGTAATTGCAGCTTTTCGAACTAATATATTATTGCTGAATTGCTTGGAACACGAAACTGTTGGGTTCGCTTAACTCTATCGAGTCGTAATGCAGTCACACTATGGCGTACACTATGGCAGGGCTTGTCGGGGAGTGCGCTTGGGTGCAATTCGCCGACACGGTGATCCCAAAACAAAGCCATCGGGTAAAGCCGACGGGCCGGCGGGTTTGATCTGTAGAGGCCTCAAAATAATTTTTAGAATATACTAATAAAATATAATATTTTCTTCATTCAATAAATACTTCTAGTTATTTTTTCTCGTTTTCCCAGAGAAAAAGTAACGATTATAATTATCTGCATCGAATAATAAAGTCGATAATTTTCTTAATTTTTGATCTATTTCACGAGGGCTGTATATGTATAATACAGGAACCGTCCGTAGGTTTAATGTTGTCCTGTTATAAAAATTTAAGTGAGACTTAGAACTCATGTCGCAAAGAGGCGGCGTCATTTACTGTTTGGTGTTTTCGGGTTGCGGTAGTTGCTTGGTAGTATCAGCTGTGGGTCCCTCTTACTCTAACGGGAAAGTCACTAGTTCAAAGCTTCAGCTAAATCCACCAGACAAATGCTGTCCGCTATATTATTATTTTTTTAAATATTTTTAGGTACTAGAGCGTTCACGAAAAAAAAGGTACTAGAGCGTGGAAAATGTCTTATGAATGAAATTAACGATTTCTTCCTACTCTTAATTTTTACGAATGCCAAGAATATTTATTGTGAGTAATTAGTCAGTAAGACATGTGTAAATTTTTGGATATTTCAATGTTTCGAATTAACATTGTTAAGCAGCCTGACCGCCGATCGGGATGATTTTGATGGCGCCACATCTAAGGGGCGTGGAGGAAGTCAGGAAGCAAAACAGAGTCTGGCCGAATATGCTAGCTTATATCGGGAGTATGAGCATATCGAGAAATGCATCAAAGAAGGTCCGTACCAGCCGCACCTTGAGCAACGGAAGGAGGAACTATCTAAAGAGCTGGCTTCTAGAGAAGAACACATTCGAAAGGCAAGTGACGAATGTTTTTACAGACATTAATTGTGTCTATAGCGAAAATTGTATAAGTCTCAGTACATTGCCGGTCACAGTCGGAACATTGCCAGCCCACTGAGTTTCTCGCCGGATCTTCTCAGTGGGTCGCGTTTCCGATTCGGTGGTAGATTCTGTGAAGCACTCCTCTTGCTAGGGTCAGTGTTAGCAACACTCCGGTTTGAGCCCCGTGAGCTCACCTACACACGTTAGGGCGAAGCTGAAATAGCCTCTCAAGGCTATCAGCATAGGTAGGGAAAAAAGATCGGAACATTGCAATGTTAAAGGTGTTGGCCAATCTGGGATTTGACGTCCTCGGTCTCATATTTAACGTTTACCCGGTAAGCGTGATAGAAAAAATTCGCATCTCGGGGGTGGGTCATTTCAACATGTAGTTTTTACAGATCTACAAATATACAGAGGTTCTGCGTATTTGTAGATCTGGCTTATTTTTAGATTTTTATAGTACAGATAGCCCTTCGTCTATAACACAGTACATACGTTCCTACAAAGACCCGTGTTGTGCGAAACCGTGTTATATGAAACTAGTATTCAGTACAAAAAGGAGAGTAATTTTTCTGTATGAAACATTTCAACTATGCCTGTATATATTTTTTAACTATTATACAAAACAAATCAGAAAATTTCGGTTAGTCCCATATATTATGTGTTCATTTGCATAATGTAAATAATTTCGAATCTAAATCTGAATAATTTTAAACAAAAATCTCATCATCGTGTTGTAGGAGTGTGTACCGTGTTATAAGAGGATTTGGAGATTTTTCTATTTGTGAGAGAGTGGAACCGTGTTATAAAATGCTGTGTTATAGGCGGGTTCCCTCCGACTTCACTCACGTGAACAAATTTTTCCGTCGGGAGTATTACTTTTTGCTTAGATGTCGTTCTCTGTGTTCCTGATGAAGTGTAGGCAAAATTTCATGACGATCGGTTAAGCATTTCATTCATATTATGTCACAATTAAAACATTTGACGTCGACTTTAGGTCGTCAAGGAGTTCAAAGCGTCCGGGGACTCTGAGCAGCCGCTCCGGGCGTCCGCGTCCACTACAGAAGACGGGTACAGGCACTCAACATTCAAATTAAACGTCGGAGATCCTCAACTGTAACTCGTTCTGTACTATAATATATTTTGATTTGAAATAAATGTGAATTTTTAATTTATTGACCGTATTACGTTTGTCTTTTTTTAATTGTTTGAATTTTTTTTGAAGTCAATTACAAGAAAAAATACTATTGAAACTATTTTTCGGATGGATTTAAATTTTAAGAGTTACTCGGGGTCATAAACATATCGACGCATGAAAGGCAAACGTGGCTAAGCGACAATGCGTGAATTTTACAGTAGACTAATAATAATTAAAAGTTAAATACCTGAAAAAAAAAATATTTTAACGAATCTAGCTGTAGGATTGAAATGATTTTGATAGACCTAGAAATATATATTTTTTTGCGAATCGAATATGGTTATTGCCTATCATTTATGTACAAAGCAGTTATTGTCGCTTAGTCGCGTTTGCCATTCAAGCGTCGATATGCAGTTTTATTCGTTGCCTTCGATAATCCGATAACATTAATCTGGAGCTATTAGTGGATCTTACAGAATATGACCACATAAATTTCGACAAACCTCATGTAATTACAGTCTCCAGTCAGTCTGCGACAGTCGTGAAGCGGCTGAATCGGCTTCCTTTTTACTGCTTCAAACTCGCATTCCGATCGCCGTAGGCTGATTAGAATTTCAAAAATATCCTGCGCATTCTAAGGGAGGGACTTTTCTAAGGGATTTCTTCACATATGACACCTTCATTGATACTAGCAGCAGACTTTTTTCTATCATTTTTATTGTTGTATATTTATTTGTATTCGCTTAATAGGAAACAGTTCTATATGAATTTTCTTTTATTGAATTTCGCTGAGAATTACTCTTTTCTGTATTGATTACTTTTGGAAGCTTCGAACAAACCTACCGAGATCATATCGAGAGGTGAAAGACTATGTGGTTCAAGCGACATTTTTGAAACCTTACAGAGGCTATTTAAAGTTCAAAATTTGAAAAAAAATATAACAAAAAAACCTCTTCAGCATTTGATTGAAGTAAACTAAATTGAAGTTCAATTAAAAACACGGAAATGTTGACGCTAATCTATATATCTAAAAATGAAATTGCTGTTCGTTAGTCTCACCAAAACTCGAGAACGCCTGAACCGATTTGGCTAATTTTGGTCTTGAATTATTTGTGGAAGTCCAGAGAAGGTTTGAAAGGTAAATAAATATGAAAATGCTCGGAATTATATAAAAACAAACAATTTTGTTTTTCCTTAGATGTGTCCCCCGTCGGACTGATTCCTTTTGTTTGTTTTAAGTTTATTTTATACAAAAGTTTAGGTCTTTTATTTATCGATTGAGGCACTACGAAGTCTGCCCGGTCAGCTAGTACCGAATAAAACGCATGTTTAATTACAAAGATAAATGCCGCGTATTAAGCGAAATGCCGCTTAAACCAAGTAGGTACTTAGCCTTCCATCCATCCATATAATGAATATCAAGCGATAAGTATGTGACGTAAAAGCGAGAGTGTTGCAATTAACTTACTGCTCGTGATTGGTGAATGCGGTAAACATCTACATAGGAAACAACGATTATGGTAAATATCCAAGAATAAGGTTGTGTCGCTGCCATGAGTGACCTAAATACCACAGATTTTCCCCGATGCGTGTTGCTACCCTAAATGACCATACTATTACGTAAAGTTCTATGTGTTATGTCTTATGTTGCGACGATAGGAGTTTGAGGTTTTTTTTTTTAATAACTCATTGATGACGTTTTTGAAATACATGGTTATTTTATTAATGTGTGTTTAAAATTACTAAATAATTTGCAATATGTTTGTTAATTGTTATTATGTAATGCTTCCTCTAAAAAATGTTGTCTGTAAAATTCTACGTTTATATATGGTTCTGAGTTATTATCGTGTCAAATATATAATGTAATACTGAAAAATTCTTTTTTTTTTTTCTAATTTGACGCCCCAATAACTGATATCGAAACTAAAGTAGTTAGTGCGTTGTTAACTACAGTTTAATATATATATATATATCTCTTGGGCTTAGAATACATTTTGAAAAAAGTAATGAGATCTCGTAATGTAAAAATTTTAATTATTTTATGTGCTTCCAAGGTTACTCCTTAAATTGTGTTTGATGTTGATGTAGGTAACTTTATTTTTCTCGGTGCTTATTTTTCTCGGTGCATACTTTGAAAAAATATGAATGACATCGACCTATACAAAGTATGTGTTCTTTAAAAAAATCCAAAGTGGAATTCTTATAGAATTTTTCGTTCACGACCCATTTATCTTAATACAATCATTGTTTTTTTTTCTACGTTTTTATTCAAGCCAAGCTAAAATTCTACTGAGCACGTAACTAAACATGCATATTCTATAGAAACGTTTTTTTTTTTTGTATTTTCATAAATATTTAAAACTAGACAGTTCACTTAAAACTATGACACTACAATGATTAACAATATTAAATATAATTTATAATAGGATCGCTTTGTACAAGAAAATTAACAAGGTTTTTTTTATTACCTAATATCAAAAAAATTATTGGATAAACAATATACTAGTTAGTATTTAATACTAGAACTCAGTACGTAATAATTAGTTTATAATATGATATAATAAATCTTAATAATACAAAGCAGTGTGCGATATGAATAGATAATATTTGTTTGTATCTTTGTGTGTGAATACGTAATATGTTACATAATTATATTGCACAAAATCTAATTATAAAAAATCTAAATTACATTACGGAGTACATTGTAAGATTATCATAAATTTTTTTTCGAAAAGTATGGTAAAAAATTACGAATAGTCTTCGTAAAACAAGAAAAAAACCCCAATCTTTTTAAACTATACACATGGGCAGGCTTTCGTTTGCATTATTTATTTAGATTCGTTGATTTGTCGTCACAAGAAATACATCGCAAGCTCTGAAGACAGTTTAGTAAAAACCAATAGATTCTTTGGCTCCTGCAAAATATTATCATTAAATCTCAAAATAGGAATCTCCTAATAACCACTATTTTCATACATCACTTTTGTGTGTATTTGTGACATTAGAAGCACAATCACATTTAAAAATGATAGTTGAAAGTTTTGTTAACAGACCTCTTTTCGACTTTCTAATCTCGAGAAATAAGAATCAAGTTCTTTTTTTTTTCGTTTCAAACTAACTGTGTGCGAGCTCAATTCCGATTTGATGTTCAGTGGTCACCCTACGTAAATGCTGCCACCAACTTCGAGACATGGGTTCTAAGTCTCAGGGCAGGGCAGCCGTTGTAACTATACTGAGACCTTAGAACTCATACCTCAGGGTGGATGGCGCGTTTACGTTGTAGATGTCTATGGGCTCCGGTAACCACTTAACACCAGGTGGGGTGTGAGCTCGTCCACCCATCTAAGCAATAAAAAAAAAGTTTGTTAGTACAACGTCTGCTGTATTCTTCAAACCGTAAGGCATCGCTGCTTCGCGGCAGAAATAGTCAGGGTGGTGGTGTCTGTCCGTGCGGGCTCACAAGACGTCCTACCACCTGTGACTAAGTATAGTTCGTTTGACGTCAAAGAAAATATGGCGCCATGTTTTTTTTTGTTGCCCTTGTAGGCAGACGAGCACACGGCCCACCTGATGGTGAGTGATTACTAGAGGTCGGAGTAGGTAGATTGATTTAATGTCGTTGACGTCAAACGTAGAGAATAATATGGATATGCTTCCAAAATACCGGAACTTCATATTTATTGTGTTCCGGAATGTTGAAATTAGCATGAATCTGTGTTTAAGGTGAAAAACGTATTAATAATATTAATCTACGCTACCAGTGCTAGCTAATGGTGATTTTTGATATTTTATTTTATACAAAAACACCTTGGAATAGTTACACCGTATTTTGTCCCTTTCTGTTGAATTAGAAATGACGCTTGTCCGTGTGAGACAAAACTTAGACAGGGCTTTTTGTTACTTTATCTCATAAATATAGAAATTGTATCCCATGAGGATTATTTTTTTTTTTTTCAATTTACAAAAATTATCATTATGGATAAAATGGCATGTCCATATTATAATATCTTGACGCAAGTATATAAATCAATCTACCCACAACGACCACTGGTGATTACCGTCGCCTATGGACTTCAGCAATGCCAGGGGCAGAGCCAAGCCGCTGCCCAACTTTTTTTTTTATTGCCCTTGTAGGCAGACGAAAAAAAAGACAAAGTGTCGATTAGTTGCGAGAGTCTGTGGAGGACGGGATGTTTTCTCCGTCAATCTTGTGGCGCGTAGCCTGAATGTACGCTTCGGCGGCGAGGGTCGGCCAAGCGTCTGTGGCCGTAGCAGCAGTAGTCGCGGTCGTCGGCCACGGCTCGGACGTGGTCACCTCGGCCGGACGCTCGAGGCCCTCACACGTCTTGGTGCACTCCAACGCCAACGGCTTCGGAGTTTCGATCCTGTTAGGGACACGTTCGAATCGTTTCAGGTTTCGATGCGCATCTATTGCAATTCCAGTGATGGTTTCCACTATTATAATAATATGCGCATTTAAGCGCAATCGTAAATAATTTAATACTGAACTAATCATGTAAATAATTCGAAGAGATTCGATCCTTTTACTAAATCGCCGGAATATCTAGTAGACTGGGAAAGATGAAATCCGAAGATATTGTAAATTAATCTATTTCTAGGAGACCTAAAAGACTGAAACGTATATTAAGAAACAAAAAAGAGGTGCGGTGTCGTGGGACACCGGATAGGAACGAAGTTCTTTATTATAAAAATATTAAAGTTCTATTCGAGGTATAAAGAAAATAAAACTTGAGGTTTCGCAACAACCCACGGTCATTCGGTAACGTGCGAACTTAATGTGGTACACTTCATTCACAGTTGTTTGCATAAGATTTAGTGTATTGCGCAAAAGAACGCTCTGAGATCGTAGTCAATGAATGATAAAAAATATGTTATTTTTTGTACGTTATTACAAAGTTAAGTCGTGCACTGTGTGCATTACTAATAAAAATCATACGTTACGGATGTTTTTTCCCGTTTAGGGTACCCTTCCACATCATCCCATAAGTAACTTCGTTCCAAAAGAAGGCAAGGTTAGGCAATTCAGGTGCCTTAGAAACAAAAGTTGACGTAATTAGTTCAGTGCGCCACGCAAGGCACCGGTGAGCTGAATGGCAATCAACGTGTTAAAATACCTCACGCGTTCTGGTGACTGCATGGCGTCGTTTGTGCTCGATATTTCGAGATCCTCAACGTAGTTCATATGCAACTTGTCGCTGTCGGGACGTTGTTCTTTATCTGTACAAATTGCAAATATAGATAATGTTAAGACACAAACAAATCTTGCCACCAGTAAGGTCCATTCCAGTATTGGATTTGTTTCAACGTAACGAACATAACAAACCAAGTATAAGTCAAACACACTATTTTATAAACACTTATAATGCTTTGGTAGTGTACGGTATTATAATCTTAACAGCAATCGGAGAAAAAAAAGCTAGGTATTTAGGTGATACTAATAATATTATATTACGAAGTTAACGTTTTTATGTTAAACTTTAAATTGGCGCGCGAATCTTGTCGATTGACATTTAATGACATCTGACATTTGCGTGTTCGGGATTCCGATGGCGCCCGAATGCGCCCGAAGATACCCGAGTGTAATCTATGACTTGTAGTGCCAATGTTGCACGCTACAAACATTTTAGCAGCACAAGGAGCTAGTCTCGGCGTCTCAATATAAAGTTACACAGCCTTTGTCCCGCTGTCTCAATATACGGAACTCACGATGTCACGTCTAAGGACTTTGATGACAATTTAAAACCTGGTGGGTGAGTTTAATCTCTTCGACAACAAAATTCGGTCGTTAGATCGGCGTTGGTCAATGTAGTAGCGTCATTAAATTCGACGCCTATGCATTCATAATGATAGACATTGTAGTACAGTAAAAGCACTTTACTCACAGGGTATATGTTCCGTAAGTATCCTGTGAATATGGAAAAGCGTGTTTACAAAGGATATTCGGTTGGACACCTACATATTGAACCATCTTTATCGTATGTACCGATTATATCAGCGAATAAAGAAATATTTAGCCGCGAATATAGGAATTGGGTCGCATTTGTTTAATCCACGAATAATGAAAACGCGAATGAAAGAAGCGCGAATAAGAAGCTCTTACTGTAAAAAAACCGCTCATCCTAATACTCGGTGCAGCTCTGTGGATAAACATTATAGAAGTTATTCAAAATTACAGCAATATTATATGCTACCGTCAACATTGATGGCCGCCTCAGGCCAGCCCAGCGAGTCTCCTTCAACGTCTACTGGTTCATCTTCGGCATCATAAGGTCGAGATTCGCGTGGCCTCTCCTCCCGACGTTCCTCTTCTAAGTCGTATCCAAGCATACTCTCCACTGTGTGGTGTCGTTTCCTCGTACGTAGCTTGAGGCGACGCTGCCGATTTGCACGAATACGCTGGTATGTCTAAGATTAAAGTTATATATTTTATTCATTTTGACTCGTAGAAGGCCGTCGAAATTGTAAGAAGTCGAAGAAGTGTTTTAACAGAAGATGTATTTTTAACGCATCACCAATTTTTCTAAAACATTGCATAATTAATTAGCTGAGCCAACAAAAAAAAACCATTAAATTTTAGTATAAGTTGAAATTTTATTTTTTATTGCCTACATGTGTGGACGAGCTCACAGCCCACCTGGTGTTAAGTGGTTACTGGAACCCATGTACATCTACAACGTAAATGTGCCACACACCTTGAGATATAAGTTCTAAGGTCTCAGTATAGTTACAACGGCTGCCCCACCCTTCAAACCGAAACGCATTACTGCTTCACGGCAGAAATAGGCGGGGCGGTGGTACCTACCCGTGCGGACTCACAAGAGGTTCTACCACCAGTAATTACGCAAATTATAATTTTGCGGGTTTGATTTTTATTACACGATGTTATTCCTTCACCGTGGAAGTCAATCGTGAACAATTGTTAAGTACGTATTTCATTAGAAAAATTTGTACCCGCCTGCGGGATTCGAACACCGGTGCATCGCTATATACATATACGAATGCACCGGACGTCTTATCCTTTAGGCCACGACGACTTCAAATCAATATAGCACCGAGTAACTAATATATTTCCGAGATATTATATTAGTAGTATAAATCGTATCCGCGAAAGTTTATGATGGACATTGTATGATTTATCCACAGGATTTATCTAACAAAAAAATTGATACCTATACGACCTCTTAAAATCGAGTAATAAATGTAAAAAGTATGTATGTAACTTTAATTCATTTTGAAGTCTAGTACATTCATTAATAATCGTTATTGAGAAAAACATAGCCATACACATAATTTCAAATGTATTACTCGTACTGTATAGTGTTCTGAAGTTGTCGTGGCCTAAAGGATAAGACGTCCGGTGCATTCGTATCTAGCGATACAACAGTGTTCGAATCCCGCAGGCGGGTACCCATTTTTCTAATCAAATACCTACTTAACAAATGTTCACGATCGACTCCCACGGTTAAGGAATAACATCGTGTAATAAAAATCAAGCCCGCAAAATTATAATTATAACTGGCGGTAGGACCTCTTGTGAGTCCGGGTAGGTACCACCACCCTGCCTAGTTCTGCCGTGAATCAATAATGCGTTTCGGTTTGTAGGGTGGGGCAGCCCTTGTAATTTACTGATTGATTTACTGGTTGTAAATTACTGATGGGCTGGTGAGTAACCGCTGAACACCAAGTCGGCTGTGAGATCGTCCACCCATCAAAGCAACAAAAAAAAATATAGCACTTAACACGTTGACTGCCATGTAGGTCACCGGTGTCCTACATGGCGCACTGAAGTAATTAATATTTCGATTTTTCTCATCGATCTTCTTACTAAGACGCCGGAATACGAAAGACGAATCTGAAGATATTAAAAATGAATCTATTCTTAAGAGGCCTAAAAAATGCATTAAAAACAAAAGAAGGCAAAGCTAGGCAATCCAGATGCGCTTAGTAACAGAAATCGAAATAATTTGCTCATTGCGGTACGTAGGGCACCGGACAAAGCAGTCAACGTGTTATGCTTTATGGAATTTCCCAGTTACCTCCCACCGCGCATCCTCGTCCTGGTGTTGAAGTGCGTGGGAGGGCGGCAACGTCTCCCGCGGCAGAGCGCTCAGGCTGTACAAATGCTGTAGCTCCTGCAGGAAGTGCGCCTGAGCCACGCCGGGACCGAGTCGCGCGCCGCATACCCCACAAGACGATTTGCGTTCACCGTCGGCTGTGAAACGCGTACACGTTTGTTCTATGGGCTCAATTGAGAAGACGTAGACAACGCAATTCATTACGAGGTCTCAAAAGATGATGACGCAGGTCTACTACCTAAAGCCCGTGCCAAAGTGAAAGACCTCGTCAAACTTTATAAACGGTAAAAATTACAAAGCTAAAGATTATGATGTTAAACAAAAAATAAGGAAGCAATCACAGGCTTTTTTATAGCTAAGAAACTTTATTATTGATTGAGAAGGCAGCTTCGCCATTCAAAAGAATCGAGAAGAAACCTCGGGTTTTTTGTAATTCAAATATATTGTCATGCAAACATAATGAAAATTACAAAATGTAGATGAAACGGTACACATATTGAGAATGACTTGAGCTGGAATAAACAGGTTTGCATTAACGAACACTGGCCATAGATCTGTTTGTACTAATGCTCAGTGGCGAACAGATTATGTATTTGTATTGTATGTTGAATGTATATTGTGAGTAAATTTATTTCCTTACGTTATAAGTTAGATTAGCTTTCGTTATCGCGTTGTTTTGTCGTATAGTTGTAAGGACAATTGTGTATAAATTCAGCACATTTGGCTTGCTTAGTCGTGCGCACATGGCTTATGTTGCAAGGCAGATTTTGTTTTTTTTCCTTGTTGTTATTTTTTATGTATCTTTTTAGCTTGTTATGTGTATTGTGTGCCTAATAAATAAATAAATTAATTAATTTCAAGTAAATAATACATACTCAAACCATATTTGTTACCATACCGCAATATTCGCGTCATAAATAAAGCGATGGTGTGAAGGCATTCGGGCTTAGCAAACAACGAAAGCTTGATAAACTATGCAGTTGCTGACTAAACCACGTGCGCCTCACAATTAATCTTATGTTTAGGTTCTATTAATTCTAATTGTTAAATGTAATCGTTCTGATCAATACCGATGTTCGTAAGGAATAGCGTTGTGAATAACTTTTGAACTTGTTTTATTCTTTTCTTTATAATTCATACATTCATGAAATATCAAATGCCTGGACACAAGTTAAAAGTATTTTTTTATCCGATATGGTCGGATATCAAAATACGTATTGAGCGAGAATGTCTACGCCCGACGGTTAATATTTGGGTATCTTTGTGTTCGCATTAGGGCGACCATAAAAACAACAGTATACTTACAAATTATTTTTTCCACGAAAAGAGTTCGATAGTGGTCAAGGACGGAGATCGCCTTAACATTGCGAAAATCCGTGATCCGACAGTGAACGACCGGTACATTTTTTTTTCCTAACAAAGCTGATAGCCTTGAGAGGCTATTTCAGCGTAACCTTAACTAGTAGGTGAGCTCACGGGGCTCAAATCGGAGTGATGCTAGCAAGAGCAGTGCTTCGCAGAATCGACCACCGGTTCGGAAACGTGACCCACTGAGAAGATCCGGTGAGAAACTCAGTGGGCTGTCTGTGGGTTAATTCGCTCGTCGAGTCCTTCGTCACAAGCGACGGTTTCGACCAGGACGGTTACCGGCGACCGGTACATGTCGTATCGGTACTGTAACAGAGTTGTAATATTTTTTTTTATTGCTTCGATGGGTGGACGAGCTCACAGCCCACCTGGTTTTAAGTGGTTACTGGAGCCCATAGACATCTACAACGTAAATGCGCCACCCACCTTGAGACATAAGTTCTAAGGTCTCAGGTATAGTTACAACGGCTGCCCCACCCTTCAAACCGAAACGCATTACTGCTTCACGGGAGAAATAAGCAGGGTGGTGGTACCTACCCGCGCGGACTCTCAAGAGGTCCTACCACCAGTAAACTTAATTAATACTCACGCGAAAAGAAATCATGCGAGTCGGTGCATGTGGCCGCGGCCGGTGTCTCGTCATCCTTGCAGGGCCTCGGGGAGGCGGAGGCGGCAGAACCGGGCGAGCTTGTGTCGTCGCGCGCCGTGTAACTGTGTCGGTACAGCGGCGGAGTACTCGTGTCGTCGCGTACGCTCTAAGCAGTGCACGCATCATAAATGCTCCAAAACATTAGAAACAATCACTATTTTAATTTGTTTTCCTGGTTGTAGGACTTCTTGTAAGCACGCGCGGGTAGGTACCACCACCCTGCCTATTTCTGCCGTGAAGCAGTAATGCGTTTCGGTTTGAAGGGTGGCGCAGCCGTTGTAACTATACTTGAGAATTTAGATCGTATATCTCAAGGTGGGTGGCGCATTTGCGTTGTAGATGTCTATGGGCTCCAATAACCACTTAACACCAGGTGAGCTGTGTCCACCCATCTAAGCAATACAAATAAAAGTTAGCAAAAATTAATCAGAGCCGCTTGCAGCAAATGTCAATTTGGAAATCGAATTTTGAAAATAACTAATTCGAAATTGAAAAAGTAAATTAAATAAAAGAGGCAATTTACTTATTTTTAGGTGCACTGATGAGCTTACGGGCTCACGACCAACCTGATTTGTATAACTATCAGCCCATAGACACCATAAAGTTTCCTGTCGTGAGACATAAGCATGCACAACTGCTTCGCGGCAGAAATAGGCAATGTTTGTGCCTATCCGATCAAGCTTAGAATACGCTCTTACGATAATAAATAGAATAGCACCATTAATATTCGATTAAATAAAATTTATAGCCGCCGTATTAAATGTTAAAAGGTTAAATTTATTTCTCAATTCAATTTATAAATGGTGTCAAACTCAGTAAGTTAATTCGAAAATTAACTTCGAGCTATTTCAAATCATAGTCACCCTTAGTGCTTGTCCGACGCTTTGACCGAGCGCGTATTGCTCTCCGAGATGTCTAGCAAAGGCTTTGCCCGGGTACAGAGGGTGGAAAGCACCCCCAATAGGCCGGAAAGCGCCACATCCGAAGCTCTGTAGTGCAGGATGCAAAAACTGCGGCGCCATATGGTGTAGAAACCCCTCCATCGTGATTCAGGGTTTCTGTAAAATAATTGTTATTAATAGATTGACAGTAGAAACACGATAAATTATTTTCGGTCAAGCATGCACATAAATACGAATTAAAATCAGAAATTACCATAAGAGAAAAACAAAACAATACCCCGCAATTCCGTTGATAGTTTAATAACTAGTTTTTTATATAAACGAGAAGAGTTGTGCAGCATTGTTCACTGAAAAACAGAAATCAATTCCCGACAGGTGAACCTGACTGCAAAACACGCACGACGATAATAAAACAGAACAATATTTTTACGTTTTTTTTCTACATTGAAATCAATATAAGCTTTAAATAATGACAGTAAATATATTTTTATGTCGTATTTGGAATATTTATTTGTACATATCTAAAATAAACGTCATTATTCATATTCATTAGAATTGTGCTAAACAACTATTTTCCCTAACTTAGTTTGCTTTGGAGAAAGACAGGTTAACGAGTTATCGTCCAAGCGAACATCAAGTAAAATTATCGATGACATTCCGAACGCTACCACTAATTTTATCGATCAATCAAACAACCGAAACCGCATCGATAAACGCAATGTTTATTGTTACTGATTCACAGAAAAAAGTTCGTTTACTAACGGCATCATCAAAACAAACACACGCCAAAAAAAAACTGTGTAAGTGGTGCTTAAAGAGAGTTGAAACACATTGGTATGGAACAAGTGTTTATTTTAATAGAGATCGTAATCGCGTCGTTGTGTGGTCAGCTGAACAATAAGAAGGCGGACGTGTCCGGGACGCGACTACTGGTCATCGCACTGTAATAATAACAAGCGAACATAATGCTTTTTACAAAAACTCCAAAAAACAGAATGATTGTTTGAACGCAAGAAAGAATTTAGAATTCAATTAATATTCTTCTTACATTGCAAAGATATTTGAAGCTAGTGTCCGATATTGTTCCAGATCCAGTTCTTTTCAATAGATTGTTAAGGGTTGACGTATATCTATGCAAATTTATCTATGCAATGAAATGTTTCAAAGTATTTTTAAGATGTCCGATTAACTTGAAAATGTCCGCTCTTGTCAAGGACGAACGGTAGTTCATGATTTTCTTATCTTGTATATTAGTGATTATAAGGATAAAAAAAACTTTTCTATTTAGTTTGGTTTGGTTTCAAATATTTAGTTTTTAAACTATAACTTCATTTATTTAAATCTGGCTGTGGAAGTGACTTACTATGAGTGAAGAAGGTGTCAAAAACTTCGATTATTCTTAATACAATTGCACGATCTTGAGTTCAGTTGCTGTGTTCTTGAAGTGGTGTAAGCCGGATGAACTGAATTGGTATGATCGCCATCATCGGCGAAATCTATTGGAATATGCCCTCCCAAAGTATTGCAAAACAGTCGATTCTCCACAGCAATTCCGCGAATTTTTGCGATGTTTTCTATGAGTGGAGTAAAACAGATAGCCACTAGAGCAGAATAGTGTTTAAATGGTGACTCCGCACCCGAAGGTCCAATGTGGGCAAGTCTCCTAAATGGTGAACCTAATTAACCTTTGTTAAAATACTCAACTCCTCAACTCACAGCCCACCTGGTTCAAGGTGACTACCAGAACCCATAGAAACCGCAACGCGAATACCGCCACCCAAAAATTTAATCACGAGTTTGAAACATTAATCACATAGCGGTTGTCTCATCTTTCAAATCGCAACACATGATTGTTTCGCTGCAGATATAAGCAGGACGCTAGTACCGATCCGTCTGGGCTTTATAGTACTGCCTACCTTCAGCAACACCACTAATAATGTAGAAAACCTTAACAATAACATTATTAATATATGAAGTTAATCAATAACTTAATAATCTCCTCAAAAATATTAAATTTCAATCGCACACCAAGTCATATTTGTTTTCATTTCAAAATATTATAAAGCATCGTACTTGTAGAATAGGTGAGTATAATAGGCACGTACGATCATGCTTATTGTTGTTAATTGTCAAATTAATCGTATGTCGCTACAGAATGCTTGATTACATTATATACATGAATACGACATTCAATGCTCAACGATTCTGGTTACATTAAGACCTAATTTAATTATAGTCCCGATATCAAGGTATTGATTCGATTCATTTGCATTAAGGAAGATAGAATAGTATACAATTTACTCTCGACTTCCAGATCCAAGACGCATTTTCATTTATAGGTATTTTTTTAGGTCCTGCTAATTCTTGAGGTTTGAATAAGCGTCTCAACTGTACGAAATTTACATAAAAAACTGATTTCTAAAAACTATTGTACTTAATTCACGTGCATTCATATATTAATTAGGATTGTACTATTAGATCATGCATGCATGCAATGATATGCAGCAATAAGTATTGTTTTATTTTAAAAAAAAACAACGTCAAATACCGTTGAAATTTTTGTTGAAGACCCGAGCGGAGCCGGAGCGGGCCGCTATTCATTAATTTATAATGAATGAAAGCATATTATTTCCTCTATTACAAAAAATATTTCCCGTTCATTCGTGTTTCGAAAATATAGATACTTTTCATCATATCAGGCAACCGTTTCGCTGACAGGTTTAGTTTTGCACAAACAAATTAGTTTCATATTGTGTAATTACATACGCGACATCGACCAACACATGTGCGCAATCAGTTCGGTCGGGCATGTAATTAGCACTGCCCCGTGCAGCATGTAGATATGCAAGCCGTTTGACCGTCAATTAGTCGGGCAACATTGGCGTAACAAGTTAAGTGTCGTATCTGTAATCAATCTAAGGGCAAACAGTACTCCTTTGAGCATAGGAGCGTTGTGCTGACACAGACGGTGACCACAATGTGCTTAGGTTTATTCCGTGTTAGATGTGTCTGTTTCCTCGAGAAAACGACTAGAGATACATACAATATCTTATATCTTTAAACGAGCAATTCTTGTATATATATACAATCTGAATCTCGGAAACGGCTCTAACGATTTTCATAAAATTTAGATTTGGGGGCCAATAAATCGATCTAGGTACGATTTATTTTCAGAAAATGTTGTTTTATTCGTGTTTTCAATAATCAACTTTATCGATAATCGTATTTAAATATAATTTCTAAAAACACAATAGGTATATAAAAAAAAGTAAACATTTAATTGAGAAAATATTAAAATGGTACTTTAAAAACGCCATACACATTTAATCTGTGTTACTGTTAAACTGAACGGCTATTAATTTCATAATTGGTACTTTGAAATTCAGAGGTGAGAAGCCCCCAAGGTAAGATATTCTACAGGCCATACCTGTGCCTACTCAGAATTGAGAAATTTCTATAAGCCTTGTCCGAATACGAACAAAATAAATCTGAATGAAATTACAAGACGATTGAAATGAATTGCACTTGCCTTACATGCCAACCCTAACCCCTACCAAGGAACAGTTGGAGCACGTTACGAACAACCATCTATTCTATTGTCGTTACGTGTAAACACTACGAAAAGAATAGTATGGGCGGAAACGTAGACGATAAACACACGATGAGTAAACGTTATGAAATGATACAGGCGGTGCACGATTTCTGTACCAGTTTACATTTCATACAAAGTGAGTAACGATCATAAAGTAAACATCGAACATGTTAAAGTGGAACTTGTTTGCTTCGAAATAAATTTATTATCAAATTACGGTATTAATATTTTGACGAATGATTATAATGTGAAGCGTTTAATTGTAAAAAGCGATAACGCTCCGCCGTGACTATCGTTAATATTATAAAAGCGTTCTGGTAGATTTTGTACAGTATTGTTCTATCACACACACCGTATCCTGAAAAATAAGGAAAACTCCAAAATGGAACATCACTAAAATCGATGCCAAACATTACAGGATCACCCGCTAGGCAAATCTGAGATCATGAAGTCATAGAAATGGATCCAGCCGTTTCGGAGTACACAAATATACATTATTTTATATTTTATATTTACATTTTTTTAATTTATCAATTTCATATAGTACAGAAATTTGTACGTTTATTCTACTTTACGATTTTCATATTAAAATTTAATAATACTTTAGAATGTTAGTTCTAAGATTTCGATTCGATTTGCGTTTGTCATATTTTGTTTAATTATAGGTGGTACACCCAAGAAATAAACGAGCTATGAAGAAAAAAAAAAAGATTTTCAAAAGTGTTACAAATTTTGTTTTAATTTTCGTCTTCAATATATTGGCTATCGGGTAATAAAAAAGACGTAGCGATTTAGTGAAAAGAAATAAGTTTCTCTCCTGATTTATGCGTTGTAGGAATTTGGCCCCCTTTTTCAATAAGTCCGACGATAAGAATCATTGCCTACAATGGCGTGTCGGCGGATAAAGCATGCAATTAAATTTATTTTTAAACTTGAACATCAAAGTCCATACCGATTGTTTCAAGATTTCAAATAGAATATTTCGAATCTATATAGCTATGTACCAATTTTTAACTGTTGTAAAATATATCCAATAATAAGAGGTCGAGACATCAATAAAATACGCGAAGCCGACATTATTGGCAGTTCTTATATAATTAATCTACGATTTGGAAAATATGGAAAACTTGTTCCAAATCACCGTTTGCGGTGCCTTGATATGCTATTTTTTTCTTTCTTGCATTAATAATAGTGCCGATTAAATATTTTGTTATTAGCTCTAATAGGCGTCTCACGCCAATATCTCAAGCCAACGTATCTGTACGACTGCCTACACGTCATACCGGACCCTATTCATATTTACTCATCATACATTTTATAGTTCAATCAGATATATTCATACATGTTTGGTAAAAATTAACTGTGACACGAAGCTTCCATGAAGGCATTTTAATTGAATTTCTTCGTTACGCTATATGTGTAACGGAGTCGGGGTGTTTATTACTAAGGGCAACACAAACTTGTATGCAGCCACTAAAACACAACGTCTAAGTCTTAAGGACATTGTATAATGTTTATCCAAACCCTTCGAACCCTAACGCGTAACTGC